TTGGGCTCCGGTCGTTTGCACTGGCGACGGTGCCCGAGGGGTTGGGGGAGGGGAGGGGTTCCCCTCCTGGCTGATTGTTTTGTTCCGTCAGTATGCTCCCAAGGAGCACCTGGTGGAGTTTTTGCCAGAGAGCCGCGCCGGCCTTCTTTTGGGCGGGGGTTTGGAGGGGGGTAAGGGCTTCTGTGGCGGCTTTCAGGACCGCCTCCACTGTCTCGTACCGCGCGGCGGCATCTTCGACTTGTTTCTTGTGTAGTTTTTCAAGCTGCTCTGCGATGGTAGTTAGGGTATGCATTTCTGTGGGCGCGCAGGTCTGGACAGGGCGCGCCGATTAAAGGGGAGGTGGAGAAGTTCGTGATAGTCCTTTTGGTGTTTCGTCGTGCTACAGATTAACCAGATCTGATAGGTTTACACTCGCATCTTTTGCCCCGCCGGCCTCCTATTGGCTGCCGGTAGGAGAAAAAGATATTTTCGAGGGAAGGTTGCCATCTCTGCTAAAAAGCCAGAACAATCAGAACCGCCGTTCTGATTGCGATAGGGGTCTCATACACCCAACGCACACGAGAGGCAAGCTGCAAGTGCACGGAGGGCACGCCGCGCCGTAACAAGTGACACGGTTCGACTTTAGTTAAGCCTAATCCCACTAGGCCAAATGGACGAGAAGATACAAGTTAGTAACTTGTATCCCAACGTTGGGCTTAAGTACCTTGGTGCAAACGAGACATGGCTGCGCCTGTCTGACAAGGCAAGCCGCGCCATCACAGAGGGGATGTTGTGGCGTGGCGCCTGGGGAGTCGCTGAGCCACTGTGGCAACCGATCGGACAGGGCACTGGACCAACGGTTGGAGAAAACGCTGCACGTGGGAATGGGTGCAACGCACCCAATCCCTCCTTTGTACTCTTCACCTTTAGATAGTTATATCAACCTGGTGTCGCGATCCGTGTGGCTTGCATGCCTGTGTTTGCCCCACGTGTCAGCCGCAAGGCATTCTTTCTAGGCATCTACAGGGCCCATGCGCTAGGATTCAGCGTAAGGATTCAGGATTTAGCGCTAAGACCAACAACTGTGGAAATGTTCTCCAGGCTGTCGGAACGAACGATATAAGGGCAACCTGGGGGACAGAATTCCTAGCGAGGACAGAGGGGAGAATACAGAACAATCTTCTTGGTGCTGAAAAAGTCTGACACCACGTATGCCCCGCATCTGTGGCGGTGCCACTGGACGTATGGCGGGATCGTCACAGATGCTGGACAGGGGATGCACTGACTTAAAGGTCTATTGTAACGTGCTGTACACTAGAGAGGATTCTCGCCAAGAGATCTCAGAGGTCCAGGTCACTCAGCGGTTTGGGGAGGATGCGTAGGCCAGTGATGCATTCGGTGAGGGGAATCTGATAGTACAGCACACGATAGAACAAAACACAAAAAACGGTTGCTTACCCTCCAGACCCCTTCACAGGGAGTCTTGCGGGCCCTAGATATACATGATGCTGTAGTGGCCTCCGGCCACCACGCCGCGGACCTTCTTGGACGCTTTGACACGGCCAAGTGGCCGCCCGTGCTCATGTCGTCAGGCTGATCGTCAGCTCGCGCTTGAGCCGCCGGATTGGGCATGGGCTGAGGTGCCCGACATCTCTGGGGTGTTACATTTATCAAGCAACAATCTACTGCATGCCCCGCTTCTTTGCAATAATTAAACCTTCACATCATCGTATTGTGCAAATGCCACATGCAGGTATCACACGGACTGCTAATATGAACTATGGGAGGTACAAAAGGGACAGCACTCGCTACAAACGTTAAATACCTAACCTTATTCTAGCTGGTCCAGTCAGTCACCACCGACAAGGACGAAACAGTATCCGGGTGTTTTAAACCAAGGACTCGCTGCCGGGTCTGTGCGCAATGCTTCATCAGCGCCAGGGCATCTTTATGCCGGCCCTGACTTTTCCAAGTAAACGCGAGGTTATTCATGCTCGTTAGCGTATCCGGATGGTCGACCCCGAGCTTGGTTTTGCGAGTTTCCATCACTTCCACGTTTAGCTTTTCAGCCTCCTGCCACCGGCCTTGATTCCAAAATGTCGACGCGAGGTTGGCCATGCTCGTTAGCGTATCCGGATGGTCGACCCCGAGCTTGGTTTTGCGAGTTTCCATCACTTCCACCTCTAGCTTTTCAGCCTCCTCCCACCGGCCTTGATTCCTGTATGTCGACGCGAGGTTGGCCATGCTCGTTAGCGTTGAAGGATGGTCGACCCCGAACTTGGTTTTGCGAGTTTCCATCACTTCCACCTCTAGCTTTTCAGCCTCCTGCCACCGGCCTTGATTCCTGAATATCTCCGCATATAATGCCACACTGTTCAGTGTCTTTTCGTCGCTATTTCCCAATTGTTTTTCACGACTTCGTTTTGATTTGCCCACCATCTGCTCTGCTGCCCCGTATCTGCCTTGTTCCAACGCATACCATCCCCCGCGGTACATGAGGCCTGCCCACAACTCCTGCGTACCCTCCTCAGTTGGTCGGCAGTTCATGGCTGCTTCGACATGCGCAAATAGCTTCTGGCATGTTGCCCAGTTGCTGTAGTCCCCCGTAGGAAACGCCGCCGCTATCCGCTCAACAAACTGTCGCCTGAATTTGTTTTGCAGCCCGTCCGCTTCCAGCCATTGCCGCATCGACAGCTGTACAAGCCCGTGCATCTCCAACGCTTTCGCGTCCTCGCTTGCAGCGCTCGCGTTCTCGCTTGCAGATACAAGACAAAAGCCTCGCAGGATGGCCACGTCGTCTTCAAAACCGTCATCTGCCTCGTCGCTGCTGCTGCCAGATTCGGACCCTGAATCCCACTGGACATTTTCGGTGTTGAGGGGCTTAAGAAGCGACAAAGCGATGCCTTGTCGATCGAAGAAGCTCATGAGCGCAAGAAGGTCGGCTGCAGAAGGCCTTTCAGACCGGATATGCTCGAAGGAAATCTGCCAAGTTGTAAGGATGGCGTTTGAGGCTCCACCATCCCGCCGAAGGTCGCCTGCGTCGTGACTTAGGAGTCGAGTCCGTTTGTATTCGCCCTTTTGAAACTCGGCCAAGTACTTCCCGACCGAGCTTAACGGCGACCTTGCCTGGATATATGCCGCCGCCTGGCTGATGGCAAGGGGAACAAGGTCGAGTGCCCGCACCAGGGCTTTGGCTGTGTCCGTATCTGGAAGCGGGCCCAGTTTTTTCTTTAGGAGAAGGAGAGCATCGGCCAGTACCATAGGCTTAATGTCAATGATGTTCTTGTGGTCCCCTGTAAGCCTGAATGCTAGGTCCCTGTTGCGAGTCGTGACGACGATGGATCCGTTTCGGCTCTGTGGGAGGTAGTTTGCCAACGGTTTTCCTTTGCGGCCATCGTTCGTCGCATAAAACACGCCTCCGTTGTCAGCGCTGTCAAGGATGATGGTCCATCGGCCGTTCTGTTCGTTGGAGAGCCAACCGTATACGAGCTGTAATACGTCGGCCTTGGGCTGGTTCCGACCGGGTAGCTTGACGACGTCGGCAATGGCCTGGAAGCCTTCTTCGACGCGGGCCTGCGTGCCAGCGTGGATCCAAAAAATCCATTTGTTGGGTGTTTTCTCGGCGGCTCGGTGTGCGAATTCGATGGCAAGTTGCGATTTGCTACCGCCGTTAGCTCCTTTCGGCACGGCATATTTCAGAACAACACGTACCCAATGCCACCTAGGCCAACCAAAGCCATACGGCCGGCCGGTTCGGAACACCGCTGGAGAAGCTGGTCGAGAATGTCGCCGCGGTCAACGAAATCGGGGTCGCGGGAGAAGGGGATGGTAGCGAACGGCTGCGGCGGGGTCTCCGGTGCGGCGGTGTGATACACAGCTACATACGTTGGTTAGCGTTTCCACGCGGTAAATTTGATGGAATAGAGGTAGTTAACGAACTAAAAGCATATTAGGGCGCTGGCGCGAAGGAAAGTGCAAGTACACGAAAATTAAATGTCTATTGCGTAACATTCTGTTTATTTACCGTTGAAGACAAACATATGAGGAGAATACAACGGTTACAGGTAGGCATTTTATTAAAACCAAGTTACTGACCAGATATGTGAATGTTAGCGCCATCGCCAAAAGTAGATCCTTGAACAGAGTGGGTAACTCCGCCATGGTTGTGGAAGGCGTGAGACGGTTGAGCCAAAGCATGCTGGGGCCGGGAAAGGGAGTCGGGAATGGGTTGACCGCCCTCAGCAGCAGCCGGCCTCGACGAGACACCGTCGGGTAGCTCGTATCGGTCAAAGATTGCGACTGCCACAGAAGCCGCCGTCGCTGCGGCAAAATCCTGCCACTGCTTGTTTTTGTGGCTGTCAGCGTAGTCGCAGATGCCCTTGACGACAATGCAAGGGACCTTTTCCCATGCCCCAGCCCCCTCCATCTCGAAGGCGATCACGTCGTGCTTGTTGGCAAAGCCGTCGCGGAGCGAGCCCGACTTCATTACTGCATTTCCCGATGCCACACGTCCCAAGAATATCTGCGGTACCAGCCCAACTGGACGCTTCTTTAGCCGGTCCATCCTCGGCGCAAGGTGCGCCTCTTCGCACCCGAGTTGGGTGCACGTCATCTTGGCGGCGCCAGGGCAAAAGGCCGCGGGGATGGCGTCGCATTGGGTGCAGCGGTTGTCTTTGTCGCGATGTTTGTGCTCGTAGTCCGCCGAGTAGATCTTATCTGTGCTGTTACTGGGATGCTTATATCTGGAATCGCCGTGCTGTTTTGCGGCATCCTGAAGGCGGCTCAGGTTTTTCGTCGCTTTGGTCTGCAGCTCCCTGCGAATGCGCATTCTCTGGAATGAATTGATAAGACCTCGGATGTGGTCGTTGGCATGATTGAGGCTGTCCTCAATTGACGTTTTGGGGACGAACTCGGTCGTATAGCTCCGGCCGAAATCGTGATTAAAGATACTGGTGCTGATGATCACGTCGCCCAGGAATGCGTCTTGCCCACCGATACTTGGTAGACCTCCACAGATGCCAACAAGGAGCGCGAGCTTGACGTTGGAAAAACTCGTGCGCAAACCAATGGAGGCTGAGACGGCAGCCGTGACACCCATCTTAGGAAGCACGACAAGGACGACCGAATGCTGCCCGATGCGGCCAGTAGTATAGGTGTTATCATCGTCGGCAGAGCGTCCATACTTGTGGTGATCGTCGTAGAACTCGTCAAAGAGGAGCTCAATAGCGTCGGATTCGCGCGGCAGTGCGCATATGATGGCGATGTGGAAACCATCACGGCTGGCCGGCGGAGCTATGACTGATGGCGCATTTGGGTCGGTTGGTGGATCCATAGCAGATGATGGAGTCGGGCGAGTCAAGAAAGAGGCTCAAACATAAAAAGCCAATGTCAGGTGTCAAAAGCCCAGGCGGAATGGCTAGACGGGGCCGGCAAAAAAAGGACGAAGGAAAATGGGAATCAATGCGGGGAAAGCCGAAGGGCGCAAGGGCTAAAAAGGGAAGGAAGTAGACGAAAAGTAAACAAAAAGCGAAAAAAATGAGATAGGAGTCCGGAGAAGGAAATCGACGGCCGAGTGCGATAGGCAAAATACAAGAACATAGGTAGCTGGGTGCAGACGCAAAGGATAGGGAGGGGTGAGAAGAGGGGAGATGAGCAGGAAGAACGGGAAGTCGGATGGAAGAAAGGGAAAAAGGGAAGCTCTGTTCAGTGGTCAGGCTGCAATGCTAAACTCAGGTTGCGGGCGTGGGTCCGGGGCAGACAAATCGAAAGGGTTGCAGGCTGTAGGCTACGGATGCGTTGATATATGCGGGTGTGGCACACTTCGAAGGGCCCGGTTGGAGCGGGTTTTGGCTCGGTTCTTGCGGCGGACCACGCTGCTCCAAGTGTGGCAGTTTCTTGACTTTCTTCATCCGCCACGTTCCCTTATTCATCTGCTCCGTCGTCGAAGCAACTAAGAAGGCAGCCTAGGCTAAATCACAGTACAGGTAATCGCAATGTTTGATGATTCAACGACCAAGGCTCGTCTCCGAAAATGCAACCCCGCGAAAAGGAAAGGCAAGGTGGGGGCCAGCTAGGTGCCCGACACACCTGCCTAACAACACACCACAACCAATCATCTTCGCATTCTTGTCGGGCTGAGCATTGCAGTCTTGGCGATGCAGACCTGTGCAGCCATTGGCATGGGGGCGGTAATTTAACGAAAATACTTCAGGGCGTCCCGTCCAGTCCGGCGTGGCAAGTCTGCCAGCACCGCACAGGTGGCGCCCAGAACAAATTAACACGATTTTGTTGTCAAGCGCGACGGCACCCCGACGCGTCAATATACCGTATTGAAACGCTTTTTGAAACGAAAGAAACGGAAAGGCAACGGAGTCAAGGGTACATCCATCGTACTTTCGTTATAACAGGCAGCTGAGCTAGCAAATTACGCACGGCTACTGCGCCTCCTTCCACACTCGCCTCCCGAAGGAAGGAGCTCGGTCGGGCCGCACAACGCCAACTTCTTTCTCCATTGGAGCGTCGCCTCCCTGCCGGGTTTGGTTGGATAAAATTAGCACAGAGCAGACAGATTTGCTATTCGAAAAGGTCCATCACACCAAGGCGCAGTGCTCACGCATCGAGGCGGCCCGGCGTTATACAGTACGACGTACGGCCGCACGATTTCCTGGTTAACGAAACGAAGCATTGAAATTTCCGATTTTGGCGGTCCGTTCCTCGACAGGTCGCGGCCCGAAAGCTGCCGGTAAACTGGGGGATTAATTGCCAATCGGGAGCTTGGTTGTTGTTCAACGGAAGGCGGAGCACCAAGGTTTCCAGGGCAGGACGAGCCCCTCCCTGGCGCCCAGTCTTTTCCGGCCGAGTTCGAATGCCAGCTTTGCAAGAAGTTCTCGATGCCGCCCTGGACCAAGCACGTGCACAAAGATCTCCAGCCATTGACTTGCACTTGTATCACCGCCTGCGGTGGCACAGATGCAATTGCATCGACCGCAGCCAAGATCATGGCAGTAGGGACCACACGCCATGTGATTCACAGACCCACCTGTAACGTGCTGTGCACAGGAAGGGGTTCTCGCTGGGAGATCTCAGAGGTTCAGGTCACTCAGCGGTCTAGAGAAAGCGTGCGGGGCCGTGTTGTATTCAGCAGAAGGTGCCTGGCAGCACTGAATAGGAAAACAAAAAACAAAACGGTTGCTTGCCCTCCAGACCCCTTTACAGGGAGTCTTGCGGGCCCTAGATATACATGATGCCGTAGTGGCCTCCTGTCACGGACCGGCACAGTGGAACCGTGTAATCTACCAAGTAGACCTTAGAGGGAATCTACAAGATGCGTGTGCTCGTGCCCCGCACTTGAGCACCAGGCGTTGGGGCACGTGCACGGCCAAGTCAGCAGGACCTCATGCCATGCCATGACACCTCCGGCAACCACGCCGTGGACCTTCCCGGATGCTTGGACACGGCCAAGGGACGGCCCGCGTCCTGGATACCGCGCTGTGGAACTCTCCCGGGGTTTCAACATGGCTGGGGAGCGGCTCGCGTTTTCGTGCTCGTGCCGCCAAGCTAGGCGTCAGCTCGTCCCCAGGCTGGGCATGGGCTGAGATGCCCGACATCTCTGGGGTGTTACACCACCGCGCAGCCTAGATATCGCCGCAGATCCTCCAGCGGCGCATGGTCAAAAGGCGATAGAGCAGTAGGTAATAACCGTTAATTGTCTAAGTGGCTAGAAAGCGGGGTTGATTTGATGCCAAGTATATAACGCCTTTTATTCCCTTTAATGGGATGCCGCCGATACCATTTGGAACGGACATATGCGGTGCGGTGCTTTTGAGGTGATGCCCCGAAGGTGGACGGATGCTGGGGTGCAGCGATTGGACTTTGACGGACTCATTAACGCCGCCGCTAGCCCGCCATCCCCGTCGGCTTTTTACAGGCGTCCGCATCGCCTACGAGGGACTAGAAGTCTCCCTAACAACCATGTTCGCCTGCTTAAAGCCTCCGACGGGCGTTTCAGAATGAACGCCCACGCTTTCGGCAGATAGATATCGCGTCGCGTCGGGCATGGCCTGCCTGCGGACGAAAGGAGGTGCTGTGGCCGGATCGTGAACGAGTATGGGCGCATAGCGCCCGACCGAGGAGTGGGATCGACGCCAGCAGGGGAACGCCAAGCGTAGTACGATGGCACGGCTCTGGATCGCTTTCCAGCCGCAGGGACTGGAGTCGCTTCTAGCCTGGTTGGTCTCTGTAGGAGCAGACCTCGTCGGACACAGCATAGCCGACCTCGCCGCATTAGGGCAAGCCATCGCCGGCGTTCACGTACAGCCTCCTGCTCCGCGCCCGCCTGGCCTACGAAAACGACCTGATATCGCACGCGAAAATTGTCGCCTCCGATTTCGCGACCTCTTCCGTAAAGGCCGATGCAGCGGCGGCGAGGACCAGGAAACGACGTTGGACGGTAGCAAAAAGCCTGTGAAGGAGCGGATGTTTTAAAAAAGCTCCATTAAGCCAGACTTGGAATTAGCCTTGGAGACGCCAGCTATCGTAGAATCCAGCGTATGTCGACGAGCTCGAGCTTAAAGGGGGCATGTGGCGCTGGCGCTGGTCTCTCCCCGCGAGCACCAAGGTGACCCTGGATGGAGTTTCCGTTGAGCATGGCGACGACGACAGGCTTCTAGTCGCTGAAACCCAGCTTCGACCTGCTGGAGCCGTGCATTTTTATCACCTTTTCTGTCCTGATGCAGCATTGGCCCTGCTCGCGTCGATGTAAGCGGAGTTTAAAAGGAATCGGGCTTCGGGTGTAAAGCTTTTTGGGAGGCGTTTTTTTCCTCGGAGGGATTGGGGTCGAATATGGACCGTTGCAAAGTTCGTTGATGGGGAGGGAGCGCTCGCTCGCCATATCGTCGGCTGGGACGTTCTATTGCATGGATGCAGATACCTGCCGTCGTTAGCTTAAGACCTGGATGAAAAGTAAGGATAGATAGCGAGCTTTGGACGGTAAGCGTTGGCGCCCCATGGGCTCGCTGTGTGGCGGAATGGGCATATTCGAAAAGAATTCTAACCTGTGTCGTCGCGGTTCCAATCGTGGTGGGCAAAGTGATATTGCGTACGCCCTGGTGTTTGAGGGAGGCGTGCGAAGGAGGCGCTATGTTGCGCAGCATACTGGCACCAAAGATTTGGTCGACTCCTTTTCCGCCAGCGACTGCTCGCTGCTAGCCGATAGCTAAAGCTGAGATAACGTCATAACCATGGCGCATCTCCACTATTTTCCAGTGATGCACCCGCGCCCTGGGAAATTGTGGGGTGGGTTCCGGTTTGGATGCATGCAGACCTAGGCGCCAAAAAGAGCGCGCGCAGGACAAACGCCAGCAACTGCTGGGTCAACTCAGCCGTTACAGCAGCGCCAGCCCTCGTGCCCTCCTTCGCCGTGCTGCGCCCAATCTACGGGCAGGATCTGGCCGCTGTACGGGCTGGTATCCAAAGCTTCATGTAGTACGTCCAGCGCGTCCGATAAAAGCCATTAATGCCCCTCCCTACGCCGCAATGCTTGCAGGAAGGATGGAAGGATGGTCGTTCTAACCTTGATAGCAGGTAGTTGGAACGCGATGCAATCCTGGTTACTCCAATTGCAGCTTATTTCGAGCCCTCCGATCCCTCCGCTGTTGCCCGCGAGCTGGCCCTGGCCGTCGCCAGAACATCCTTAAGCCCACACGGAGCTCGTCCGCAGCCGTAGCTCCAAAACCGCCCTCCGCCGCAGTCACAGCAGCCACCTCGAGCCCCCGACACCAGGATCCTTGTTCTAGTCGATGCTTGTGCAAGACGCCGCCCCGAGGAGCTGGTGGGCAAAAGAACCGAGGCGGAGAAGGCCGAGGAACAAAGGCTGTGGTACAAGTTTAAGGAAGACAGAGCCACCTTAAGACATCTGCCGCCCTAGCTGCAGGCAACTATCGATGAGCCTCAGGGCCGCCACCCTATAACCAGTCAGCAGCGTGCTTAGAGGATTGCTATTTCAGTCGATGTGCTCTACTGCATTCCCGCGATTTCGAGCTCCCTCAGCCGCCCAAGGTATGGGGTTTTGCTCGCCCTTTGACCGGCGCGTGGTACCCTCGTCGATATTATAGTACTTTCCCTCTGCTAGCTTGGAAAAGTCCTTAGGACAGAGGCATCCGCGGCCCGCGGGGCGCCACGCAGCGTCGGACAAACATGGAAAGGCCAAGTTGGGCAGGCCGCTGCTCCGGTGCGGTGCTGTTGGTTCGGGGGCAAGCCGCTGGTGACGGTGGGAATGCCTTTTTGGAAAAGTATTGCAGGATTTGGTGCCGACTTGGTTACCCCCTGCTCCTCCAGCCCCCGGGAAACTTGTGATCGAAATCAAGGGTGCGCCCGCCGCCGGTGGTGCTATCGCTGCCGCGGCCGCTCGTCCTCCCGCCGCTACCCGTGCCGAGCCCTGCTTCCGCTGCGAGTGCTACTAGTAGGCTAGCGTGCGCACGCGCCCGCTTCGAGGGCATGGTCGTAACCGCGGCTGCAAGGCCGCCTTTCCGCTCGTGCTTGGCCGGCACGCGGCCTAGGTAGCCGCGGCCGACGCCCGCGCCTCCGACGAGGCGCTCAAGCAGCTCAAAACCGCCTGCGCGATCCAGCGCCGCGCCGCCCAGCTGGAGAAGAAGCGCAAGCTCCCTCTGCACGCCCGCATACAGTGCTCCGCTAATGTTATCGCAATGGTGCTGCCTTTCAGGATATGTCCGCCGCCGCGGCGCTCGAGGCGGGCGTGCGCGAGCCCAAGCGAGGTGGTGGCCCATCCGGGACCGAGTCGCCATCGAAGCGCCGTCGCGCCACCGCGCGCCCCTCCCACGCCGATGCTGCCTTTACCCGCGCCGCCGCCCGCCCCTCACGCGCCGGCAAGGGCAAGGTCCCAGCGACGGACCGGTCCGGCTTCCCGGCCCGTGCGGCCGATGACGGACAAGCAGAGCACGAGCCTGTGAAGTCCGTTGGGGGCTAGGGGCGAAGGGATACCACACTACCTAGGCAGCATCCTGGGCGGGTTTGCCGGCGCGAGTGGGGGGTGAGGGGGGGGACAAGTCCCAATCATGATTCTCACAGAAGCGCTGAGGCTTGGAATGGCTGCACTGAATGTGGTAGAAGCGACGACAATATGCATCTTTTCTGCGTAGACGCAGGGGATTGGATGTCGCAACACCCTCCTTCATGCAACAGATTGTCCGAGGAAATCCGGCCGGCGATGTGAAGTCGTGTCCTCATAGGATTGTACCAGCGTTCCACAACATTCGGGTAAGCCTTGACCCGGCTGGACCGCGGTAATATCGATACGAGGTGTTAGTTGCATGGCCGGCGCTTCCAGACCCCAGGTCATGCTGAGGCAGCACCCGGCCTGGGGGGCATGGTTCTGGCCTGTATGCGGCTCATGTCCATGCCTATGGGTACAAGACATTACTAGGTAGGTAACAATGGCGGCATTGCCCTATACACTTCTGCTCCAAGCCGAGTCTTTGCGTATTCCGGAGCGCGGATTTCCCTTATCCTTTTTCTTATTTCCCTTACCACAAACCATGTCAGTACCGTTCAGTCAGCTCATTCAGGAGGCTTCAAGCAATCCCGCCCATTTTACTGGCTCCAAGACAGCAACGGACAAAAAGTGGGCCAAGAACTTCGAGGTCATTATCGACTTGCGCGTGCACACTTACAGTAACGTGAACGAACATGGGCGGATAACCATCGCCGACTGGGACACCGCCATGCTCCCTCCCTTCGCCGACGATAAGCTGAGGATGGACGCGCTTGGCGAGCGGCCCAACCGGAGACTCCACCGCCTCTACGCCGAGCCCGACATGGCTCTCTGGTCCCACACAGAGGTTTCGAACGTCGTGCTCGCCGCGTGGAACAAGTACCCTGCGGCTTTGCAAACTTCTGAAGCCAAGGCGGGGATTGACGCGTCCGCCGCAGAGACGGTCGACGTTACCTACAGGCTGCCAGCGGGGGGCAGGCAACCGCTCGTTATTGGCGAGTTTAAAAGGAACCTCATCGACCCCGAGGAGTGGATGGCCGGGAGCCTCACATCCTCCAAGAGCCTTTCGAAAGAGCTCCGAGGGTACGCGTACAAGTACAAATGCCCCCAGATCTTCTGCTTCGACGGCGAGGTCCTGCTGCTGCTGCAGTTCCGCGCCGGCAACGTCGAGGAAATCAAGAGTAAGCACTGCCCGGTCGACTGCTGGGTCATCCCGCGGCAGAGCGCGCCGGGCAGCTGCACGATGCGCGAGGGCCTCCACCGCCTGCTCGTCCAGGGTTTTCGCCGCGTCCAAAGCCTAGCCGCGGTCCCGAACCTGCTCGTTAATGGCCACGCGCCGCAGTACCGCGAGTTCTACTCAGGCCGGCCCGTTTTTGCCCACAACGGCGCGCTCAGCTACGAGCACCCCCTAGACGGGAACCAGGGGGTTTTTGACCGCGAGGTCGACACCAATGACGGCTCTGTCTACTGGCGCCTCAACAAGCAGCCGTTCCTCGACCAGAACAACTTGTTGGTCCGCGACACTGGGGCCATGTGGTAACTCCCGGGACGAAATCGCACTGGTGTTAGGGGCTAATCCGTAAAGGCCTGGCCGTACGCCAGAGGTCCTTGAGGGAGGTTGACGGGGAGGCCGATGGGGGCCCGAAGGGAGTCGTATATCTTTGCAATGATACGTGTGACGGTTAAAGCATTAAAATATAGCAATTTATGTTTTGGGCTAGTCAGGATATGGGTCGATTATGGGTGAAAGCAGCGATGCAATGTATCGATATAACGAATTAGGTCAACTAGTTATTTATCAGTTCCAGTGAAATCCTAAGGAGAACACTACAGCATGTTAGACGATACCACGAACACCTGGTTTCGGACCCTCCGGGCCGGGCCCTACGGGACTGTAGCAAGTTACTGCACATTATGCGGGCGCAGGATATGGAAATGGTGAGCTGCGGGAAGGACCTGGACGTGGTGCACAAATACATTTATTCGGGCTGCTACCACCAGGCGGCCCAAAACAAAGGCTGGAGTCAGTACATCAACCCGCGGACGAACATGCTGGTACAGTTGCACCCGGTCAGCACGTTCTACGGGCTTAAGGACCTGCCCTAATACGTCGTGTATTACGAGCTCGTCTAAACGTTTACCGAATGTTGACGGTGACGGCGGTCGACCCTATGTGGCTCGCCGACCTAGGCGGTGTCTTTTACTCGCTCATGCAAGACTTACTCGGTGCGCGACCGGGGCGTGCTGAGGAGCAAGCTTAACCGCAAGCTGGAGATTGAGGCCAGAATGGCCATGGATAAAGCCCGCGCCGACGGGCACTGTGGCCGAGAAGAAGCTGGACCAGAAGCGCGAGCGGGAGGACAGCAGCGACGACAAGAATTTCATCACCAAAGGGGAGTAACAAAGCCCTCAATTCCGCCCACGGCCCGGGCTTCCTAGTCAAGGACCAGAAAAATGGCTGCGCGTTCGTTCGTTCTAAGGAGCCCTAATAGAATGAACATGCGCGTGCTTTTTCTTCGCCTACTACCTTGCCTGCTTTAAAGTGGTGCACTGCCAAGGTGCTTTTTTTCCCCGAAGGGCTGACACCTACCATCGTCGGAACACTCCTTGGACGCCTGATGTGGGACGGGGACATGCTGGAACCGCGTAGAATAAGCCTATGATCCACGTCATTTTAATGGGCCCAGCCGTCAGTGACCCCTGGCGGGCTGCAAGGGGCCCCACGCGCCGCTTAATTACGCGAAACCTCACCCTTTGCTGCTTTTTTGCTTCCTTCCATAACATAAACTCCCGCCGCGATGCATCCCATGCCAGAGCCCTCGATGCATCCCATGCCACCGCCCGGGCAGATTCCCGGGCCACCACCGCCCAGGCAAATCCCCAGACCACTGCCGCCACGTTCACCCGGCTCTGACACCGGCATCGACACCGACTTGAAAACTGCGCGGGATTCCGATTTCGTAAGTCACCTTAGCTGCCGGCTGCCAGCTGCCCAGGTGGCCTTTTCGTGCTAACATCCTTACCCCTGGGCAGAACTTTTGGCTCGGCACCCGACCAGTGGCGGCGTGCGGGAAGGTGTGCGACCACCACCCCAACGTCGTGTTCCTGCGTGTGCTGCCGACCACGCTCAGCCGACTCTCCGGATGTCTGTCCCGACTGCTCCCCGCGACGTGGAAAGAGCGCCTCGAGGCGCGGTGGCCCGAGTGGTTTCTACCCGACCACATCATTTTAAAGAGGGAAAAGCCCGATTGGGTAGAAGAATTCGACGACGAGGTGGCAATGTACAAACTGCTGGCCCCCCTAGGTGGACTCGTCGTGCCCAAGCTCTACGGCCAGACCGAATACCCGGGCACGGACGACGTCAGGAGGCGCGCGCTCGTCATGTCGGACATCGGCGGGGTCTCGCTAGACGAACCTAAGGTGGGCTCGCTTCCCCTCGATCACGTCGAGGAGATGCTGAAGAAGGCGTTCCGGTCCATCCTCGACGCCGGAGTTATACATTGCGATACGAAGCTGGACAACATACACCTGGTGGACGACAGGATCATGCTTATCGACTTTGACTCCTCGGAACCGATAGGGGATGTAGATCCAGAGTACGCCACATGTATTGCCGTCAATCGTGTTTTAAGGCAGTATATAATGTGCCACGATCTCTTCCCCGACGGCATTCCCTGGGGCGTGCTCCCAAGTGATCGACCAGATTGGCCTAAACCTGTCCAACAAGCTCAGGAAACTGTGGATTTATCTCGACCCAGACCTTTTGGACTGGGTAAGGAAACTGCAAACCTATCCAGGTGTAACGATAACCACGCGGCTTTCAAACTTATATAGCCAGGCAGATCCGGCCCTTCGGGCCTCTTTTTCCTAAAGATATCTTCTAATGCAGCTACAATCATTTGAACCACCGTGTGCGTTTACAAGTAAGCCCGGAGGGCTGCGCGTGCGCCCTACGGGATATAAAACGCGACCTGTCGGTGGGCGGAGCTGGCCGAGTTGTCTGCCTCGCAAGGGCGTACTAGCTACTCTGGCCCAAATCGCGAAATGTCAACCGCTAAACGATAGGCATGTCTGCTGTGTCTCTTTGTTTCGGAACTGCTTGCAGGGAGGCTGGCTGATGCCGCCAGTGTTGGGTTTTTTAGACGCCGTCCGCCTGGTCTTGATCTCCGAATCCGTCATCACCGCCGGCATCAGAATGCGGACCAGCTTTGTTGCTTTTCTTTTTCCTGCACCTGCGATAACAACAAGCAACCATTGCTTGCCGTTTGTTCTCCCAGTTGCCTGCAACCTAAGCCTTTGCGTGCCTCCAAGCGACCGCTTTATTTAGCGCCGCGATCGCCCTCTTCCTGCACCTCTCTCGCCCTCAGCACTTGGCCTTGCGCTACACTCCATCGCTCGCGCTTCGCTTAACCTGTGCCGGTATCTCTTCCTCAACCATCACGTCCCTTTCCGCTCGTCGCTCGCGACCGCTTCCTCTTCTCTGCGATCTCCATCGCCTCGAGCTGCGGTCCCGACCTCACAAGCACTTCGGGTACGTTCTCGTCCTCCCCTCCAGTACGCTCGTCTCGAGCGTTTTTTCGCTAACCTCCACAGCACCATGTCGTCCCTGGCCGTTTACTGGGCTCGCCGCCTGGGCTACGCCTCTGTTTCCGACGCGCGACATCACTTCCACCTCCGCCCACTCCGTCCGGTTTTCTTCCGGCTTACTGATAAGGAGCAAGACTCGGCCGAATCGTCGCTTTCTACACGTGCCTGGGGCCACAGCGATGACGACGACAGTGACGATGGCGATGGCGGCAACGATTTCGAGTATGGGCCTGCAGTACCTCCCATGGGTATTTGTCCTCCGGTCGGCCCTCTGCCGCCTTTGCCCTCGCTGCCTGCGGGAGTGCCCTTCAACTTCGCGCTAGTGTTTTTCGCTCCCGATCACGACACCAATCCGAATATCGGCCTAGCTCTCCGCGTCCAGGCGGAGCAAAATCGTCGTCAAATTCATAGTCGAACTCCGGTCGCCCTTGAACTTCGCAACGTTCGGCGTGTTTTCCCTTGTGGAAACTGCTACGTCGCTGATTTCCTTCGGGGCGGATTCCACTACGAGTGTGATACGGTGTGCGTGGTCGGAGACACCCAAAACAATGCCTGCTTCCGGTGTCAAGCGCGCGGTTGGGTCTGTCGGCCTCTTCCTCGCGAGTTCCCATTCACTATCGACCTCCGCCTGATCTTGGCGGTGCTTTGGCTCAGCTCCGGGGAGCTTTGCCGCGAGTTCGAGGCGCTTCGGGTCCATTGCGTACGCAATATGATTGTTTGGGAGAATACTTACGGTTCGTCCATCACTACCCACCCTCATGCTCGCCATGGCCTGGGGTATTCGGGTAGACGGGTTCGTAGGTCCGGGCAGCTCGGCAATGTTCCAGACCTCGTTCCCCATACTCTCGAATGGATTCACCGGCCCTGGACGGCTGGTTTGACGGATTACACCTATCCCCGGCCCGTCCACCTGCTTTGGCTGGTCCGGTACCACGCTGCTATCGGTAACGGTGAGCGATGGGGCGAGCACGATCCGCATCCTTTCTCGTCTTTTACCACTGCGGCTAGGGATGAGGAGTTGGCGTGGGTCAACGAGGAGCTAGTGGCATTAGGCCTGCCTCGTTTCCAGAGTCGGTACTCGGTCACTCTCCCTATCAACAACCATAGGGGTCGACGCGGCCGTGTCATGGAGGTTTCAGCCGAAGTCTCGTCCGCCGGCCAGGTCCCCATTGCGGGTTCCTCCGGGGGTCAAGGGGATCACGCTCGCCTCGACGCTCCCTGGGTCGAATGGTTCCCAACTGACGAGGAAGCCGAGGCGGTCCATTCCGCCCAATTCGCCCCACGTGCCCCGGGCACCGGCTTTATGGATCGGGCGGAGTTTGAGCAGCACTACCCTGAACTTGCGGCGCAGATCTATGGCCCTGCCTCCGGATCTGGCGGCGATGTAGCTGACTCCGACACCGAGGAGGAGTAAGGGTTGGTGATAACTGTATGGAAGTAGTTGGGCTGGTACTTGGGCTTTTTGATTGGGTTAGGGAGCTCGCCTTTAAAGGCGCTCCTTTCCTGGTTAACGTTTAGCGTTTTTGCTTTTCTGGAACTCCTTACTCCTCTCCCCCAGGCCCGGCCGGGGGGTCGTCCCATTTTCGGTGCGTTTTGCGTTTCTTTTTCAGATAGCTTTTAACCATCTTCTGTGCGTCTGCCAAATGCTCTTCCGGCTCCCACGTGTTGTACTCCGCTGGCCATCCTGCCTACTTGACTAGGAAAGATCTTGACCCGTTGTTTTCCTGCATGTGTTAGGGATCGACCACGGCAGAGAGACAGGGTTGCAATAAACGCGATGTTGATATGACTATTTAGAAGTGAGGAATACAAGGAGGGGATTGGTGCATTGCACCGGAGCCCTCGTGGAGGGTTTTCACCCAGGCGGCCGAGCACGGGCCTTACAGGCACGGGCCACGGCCCACAGGCATAGGCCTCCAGCCACCGTGGCTCAGCGACTCCCAAGGCGCCACGCCACCACAGCGTCCTGCAAATGCCTTCCAACCTTGTCATAGTTTGGTTCGTCTCGCACTGGGCCATTGGGTGGAGCGCCGGGAACAGGGTCGCCGTGGCCACCTGGGCCGGCCCGGCCGCCCAAGTCCTTCCTGATCACGGCGATGCCAACACCGACCGTAAACCACCGCAGCTATTAGGGAAGCCGACGTTGATTACAGCCATTAGGATCCCGAAGATCCACTTCCCTTCGGGCCGAGGCTTATCGCTGCAGATAAATTGCTTTGCGGGAGAACCACACCGTGGCTCTTTTGAGACTATTGGGGTGTCCTCGGAGATTTGTTTACGCGACGCGCTGTCACGGGATGATAGCAATGCACCCCGCCGATAAGAAACCGCACTTGTTCAAACGCGGCATCCCCCCTCCGCCTGCATTAGGTTTGCAGTGAAATCTTGCGAATCTTTCCGCGTTTCACGCTTTATTTCCGCCCTCCTTGCCAGCCTGAGAGACGAAACGTTCAACACAGCCATTTCGTTCTAGCAATAATGCCTGTACCGCATGACCACGCAGGTCGAGTCAAGCGTGTGCCGGCACTACCAGAAAAGAGCGTGTTTAACGACGTCCTATATCTCGGCACGGTCGAACGACGTCATGCCCCACCGCAGAATGGCGTGCCTGACGACGACGTTGTCTATCTCGGTACTGTCAACCGAGGTCACGCCCTAGAAGAGGCGGTTTGCGTTGGTAATGCAACCGTTTAGAATACGGCCGGAGGACGACCCGCTGACCAAAGAACCAAAGCTCGAGCGAGGACTTCGAGTAGCCGAGGCCCTTCACGCCCTTCACGCCCATCTCACGGAGGCGCTATATCGACGCCGCATCCTCTCCAAAACCGTCGGCGATCCAGCGCACCACACCGACAAACCAAGATCCCTCTTCAAATACTGGATGGATTGGTCAAATTGGGTTGGTCGCGACGTTTGGATGGAGGGTGGCAAGAGGTTTACGGCTCTTTCAGCCGCACCGGTCGCTTCTGTTACTGGCTTGACACTGCCAAGTCAACCCCGATTGCGCAAAAAAACGTTCAATATGTCACTCGCTTTGGGGGCATGACACGGCAGCAAATCAAAGCTGAAGTCTACCGTATCTTGGAAGCGGCGTCCATGGATACCGGCGTTGTATGAGCCGGTACCGTTACGAAGCCAAACCGATTGATCGGCCGAAGTCTGGGTTTGCAGCCGCCCGCGCGGATCCGGGAGATAAGCCGCTCGAGACTAGGTGTCTTAACCATCCTATGGATTCGGGCGCTGTGGTCTTCATCCAATGATTGGTCCGACTTTGGGGTAGCGTGGTCTGGATTGGATCGGAATTGCTGCTCCCGGCCCGAGCGCGACCGTATCTGCGGTGCTTGACGATGTGCTGATTTTTCGTCGGTATTCATTACGACAAGCATATACTTGTGGGGGGGAAGGCGATATCGTGTGCAGGTGCCAGCGGATGGATGAGATTGGGATTATTCCTTATAATTTCAGGCAAGCATCTTGTTTGGTCGAGACTCGGAGAAGCGCTTGACACCAGACGCTGGACGGCTTTTTTTCTTTCTTTTTTTCCTTCCTGCCCGGTTCGTGGCCTGGATGGCATGCAGGTAGCTGCTGGTGGCTCGATTCGTGGGCTCGGTCCGTGAAGCTCTCGACCTTTGGCGGGCGTCGCCCTAGAGCTGCTGCTGCCAATGATTGGTGCGCAAGTCGGCCGAGGATGGCCTGTTTATGGATCACGACCGGCATGCCTTCCTGCTCTTTTACGTTGACGACATCGTGCTCCTTTACCGAAGAGACCACACAAGTATCACAAAGAAGTAGGGCGCGCAGTGGACGGAGTACTTGACAGACCTCTAATCTGTAGCCAAAGAGCGTGGTGAGGGTGGGACACCCTCTGACCATACCTACATACCAGTGCTCGGTAATAGCCTTGCGACCACTGGCCGGCCTCGGCGAGGCCGGCCAACAGCCCCGTGGAGCCCGTAGGGTACGAGCGGGTACGGCCATCTGGAAGAACAGCCCAAGGAGTGGTCCCTTCAGGCATCCCCGCGGCGGTGACCCCCCCTTGGCAAGCCGGCGTGGCCGGGCACGAGAGCGGGAGGCGGAAACACGGCGCTCCAAAAACCAAAAAGTAACGAAACAGTCGATCTAAACTAGCGCGTGCTTTACACGACGGCGTGGCAGAGCTTGCGAAACTAGCGGGCGGCACAGCGACCATGTGTTGCTCCGTTGCCAAAGGCAATGGTAAAACGGCACGACGAAAAAAAAGACCATGGCGTTACAAGCACGTTGGCACACGTACCCAAGTGGTCGGTAGACGACGCACGCTTGGGCGGGACGGCGGCTGGCGGGACGGACAAGGGCTGCCGCCCAGGCGGGTGGCACACCCCTGGCAGACCTTATGATCAAAAAAGGCAAAAGGAGATTCCATCAACCCAAGGGTCTATCGTCTGAAAGCACGACATACATCGACGCGAACCCAAACCCAAATCCTCGCCGACATGCCTGGCGTTCTTACCCGGCTCACCTGCCGTCGAAATCGACAAAATGGCTCCAGCTCATAACATCCCAAGCGCTGGCCGGCACGGAAACGCGGCTTTTGCCACCCGGCCGGCGGCGTCCCAGGCGTCATCCGGCCGATTCATACCACCCCGTCGAAGCGCGTAACCAGCCAGGTACCGCGCATGTCGTCAGCGGCCTGATCCTTGCTTGCTCGGGCAATCGCGTGCCTCAAAGCGAACAGATTGTCGTCGGACTTGGCCATCCCCAGCCGGAAGGCATAAGTAAACGCATGCACAATAAAATCGACCTTGTTGTCGCGCAGGTGGTCCAGCGGCATGGTGGACGACATGGCATCACGGATATGGACGCCGTAGACGTTTTGCGTCTTTACGCGGAAGCTCAGGTGGCCTCTAACGTCAAACGAGGCCACGACGGCCTGACGCTGGGCCGGGGGCAGGTCGAACTGGGTGCGTAGCGTGCCGAGCAGGACCATCGTGCCCACGCTGTACTCGCCGGGCTTGGGTTTGCACAAGGGGTAGTCGTCGACGCCCTCGAACGCGCCTCCCGCGCCGGGCCGAGGCCGCTGCTGCTCCTGCTGCTGCTGCCGCCGCTGCCGGCTCGAGCCTGAGGACGTGGCGTCGGA